AGTACTCTCAATCTGGAAGACCTCCATCATCGAGCAGCTCCGTCAACGTCGCTACGGTCTAGGACATCATCTTCACCGCAGTCGCCAAGGCGCGGGTGATGGTATGGACCTGAGTACCTGGAATGGAAAGACCAGATATTTTCTTCGTGGACCCGGACTGAAGGTGAGCGCTGGCGGTTACATTGGGCAACTCGAGAAGAATATCCTCCCCACATGTCGTCGCCCGTACCTTCTTGGAAACTTTGTACTGCTACAGGATTGGGTGACACCACATGGAATCAAAGGGCGTTGGGAAAACTCTTGCCTACTTGGAATGGAAGGGCGTTGAGTACCTGAAGAAGGTGGAATATCTAAGCAGGTAACCTGACCTAAACCCCCTCAATTACCTGGTTCGGGCGGAGTTCAATAGGGTGGTCTACAGTGGCGGAGAAATCAACGATCTCGCTGAACTCACGCACCACTGACGGTCGCGTGGCAGAATCTCTCGATGGCGCTCCTCCAGAAGGCTGTGGCGGAGTATCATGATAGTATTTAATATGCTCTTTAATATGGTAGAAATGTCCGATAAGAATTTAATAAAATTGTAACTTAGCGCCTCGAAAAGTCGAGGAAGAAAGTCTTTTTTGTGGTGGGCCCCCACTGTACAAGTCAGCGTACTTGTCCTCCAGACGAATCTGGTATCAATTTACCGTCCCCGGGGTGCAGAAGGCTTATTGGCTGAGGCGGGAGTCCTACGCTCCTGTCGCTTAACACTCGCGTGGCGCGCTTACCACCCGCGCGGTCCCGGGATTCGAACCAGGACCGCGCGGGTAGTAAGCGCGCTACGCGAGTGGTAAGCGCGCCACCTGTCACTACACCACCTCCGCTTCGAAAAGAATACAAAGAGGAAACTGAAAAGAGCAGTAACTAGAAAAGCAACAGCGTCGGCTTAGTTATTGAGTGAGGGCTATGGAGGCAATCGACGCTGAGGTAGCCTGGAATAATGTATATAAAAGTGTGACTTACAATAGAATAATTCTGATTCACATAGTTAGAAGAATACGGATAATAGTTAGAAGAATTCCAGATAGTTTGAATTTCAGCCGAAATAAAGCAAGATACGGACGGAGGTTTCAAGTCTGTGGAAGCGAGTTCCTCTGCCACCGGTTTGAACTCACAAGTTAGTTGATAATACAATAACTACTGTACTGTTTGGTGGGACATTGGGACACATAGAAATTTATAGTGTTGGCGGGCCCTTCAGGTAGATGGAGGTAAAGAGTCAACCGGGTCTGTGAGGCTACTGTTAAGTCGCCGTCGCTGTTGACTGTGGCCAGGGTTGCAAAAAGGACAGTAACGGCATGGTGCTCTGTGGCATAAGGGGTATCGTATAATGAACTGGCATGCAAGTAAGAACAATATATCTTTCTTGTGATCAGATGAATGAGACTAGTGGCAGTGGTCAGTCTGCGGTAGAAACAGATCAAAAAGCAAGTCAGATCGTGCAACGACTAAGGGAATTCGCATGGCTAGTAAGTCTTTCTTCGTTGTGAATATAGGTGGTAAGAAAGTCTTATTTTTGTCGTGATTTTACTTCCTTACTTTTCTAATTCAACTTACAGTAGAATCTGATCAACAATAAAATAGCTGGCGTTAGTAACAACGGTAGCCCACTCAATGTGCAGGTCCCAGCAATCCCGTTCTCTCAGAAATAGAAAAGTTGGGAGTCGAGGAAGTTTGTGACTGCTCAACTGATGTCATCAAACTTGCTGAACGTTTTATCAGCCAGGAGAACTCTCAGACGGCTGAGGAACTATTGAGAACTTTCAGGCGGCTGAAGAACTGGTAATCAGAGGGGTTATTTCAAGAGAATACGGTGGACGGGGTACGATTTCTCAGCCTTGCTCATATATTTTCGGTGGGTTCGCATTTCAGTGGGAGGCCGCCCACCATCACGAACGAGGTGCCCCAGAGCTAGTCTTCTTTGGACAGCTTCCACAAGTTTCTGGAGCTAACAGGCATGGGTGCTAACCGGGGCCGGGCGTTCCTTCAAGAGCAGCTCGTTGTTCAGCATTCCCCTGATAAGCAGCATAGAATACCTATCCTAGGGTGTATGCCTGGCTTGGCCCGCTAAAATTGTTCTTTTCCAAAACATTCACGCAGTGCTGTGTGTAAATTGGAATTATAGAAAACTCATATTTCATCTCTACTTACCAGTCCCAGGAACTCGTGCGGAGAAGGGGAGACTGACAAATGGGTACTTTGGCGTGTCGTGTGCAACGCGTTGATGCATGAGGCATCCACCGAATCAGTTTTATTCGATAGGCGATAGCTTCTGGGCGGTTGCCGACTGTCATTCAGGTACACCCAAGTCTTGTGGCGAGACTGCAGGTGGAAGCCTCTAGATCCTTTCTGACAGTTTTGAGAACGGTGAGGTATTACTTTGCAAGGGAGCGTCTCGACTTAGGTTAGCCTTCGAAGACCGCGTCTCCATTTGCGGAGCGAGCGAACCAGCGGTGGTTGCTGCAGTCGCTCATGTTACGTTATGTTCAGGCATCAAAAATCAGAAGCTATAAGCTATCCATAAAAGCACAGACAAGGATTCCTTGCCAACCTAACAAAAGCAGTGGTCACATTGTATAAACTTGGAATGTTTGATTAAAATTTATTTGATTGATGTTTGTAATTTGAAACGGGGAGATTACTTCGCTGATTCAGAAATGTAGCATTATTTTTGCATATTCAGTAATGTTTACAATTTGCAGTGTGATCAGTTCACAATCGAGCAACTTTTTCACGAATTCAATGCCCTACCACTGCCAGACATGAACGGGTGTAAAGCATGTGTTGAGCCACAGAACGTAAAAAAGAACCGCTACAGTAGTAAGTAATCTACTCCATCTCTTTTCTTATTCTTTTTCGCGTAGATGGAGTTGGCATCCTGAGTTAAAGACACATGGTACGCTCAAACACATTGAGGGTGTATGAGACTATCAGCCCCCCAGCTGTCGATGTGTCGTGGTCCCCCCGCCCAAAACTGCACGGGGTCAGAGTACGGGCCGTGGGAAAGTCGTAATTCCTTGCTACGCCGCCCATTTCGCAAACTCACGTTTATACTTCCACCGTCAGCGCGGCGCGGTCGCGTGCAGTCTCTTGGCTTTTTGCCAGGGCGCGGCGCGGTCGCGTGCAGTCTCTTGGCTTTTTGCCAGGGCGCGGCGCGTCGCAGTCCTTGCTTTTTGCCAGGGCAACGGGGCGCGGCTCGCGTGCAAGCCTATGCATATTGCCAAATTCCCTGCAATTGCGCTCGGAATAAAAAGAAAAACGCAATTTTAATGCAGTACATTATAGGTGCTGAAAATAACGAACTTAGATGATACGTGAGGTAGAGTTCTGAAGCAACTGTGCTGCTTCTGCATTCCTCGGAGGCCGCGCATTTCCACGAACCTGGAAATTAAAAAAAGGCCTAAGGCCGCGTTCATACAGTGAATTCAGAAATCGAACACGGAATTGCATAACTGCCGAAAACTTGCAGACTGTGAATCTGCAGAATCTGCAGATTCTGCACGACGGCAAATTCCGCACGACGGCAGGGAAGAACCAGTCGATCCCTATCAATTCTTTGTCTGCAATTTCTGCATGTCGGCAAATTCCGCGGAATTTGAAGAAATGCAGTTTTCAGATCGATACGTATATATTTCCTTTCTGCAAATTCCGCAGTTCTGCATATTCCGCATTTCTGCATCGGTATGAACCGCCATAACGCCCACTTGTTTCAAGTATTTTGATAGCTTTGGAGTCGGATTCGAGCCGGATCGAGAAATTCACACGCGATTTGAACTAATTTTCGTTTCTTTAGTTTTTTCAATATTGTTTTATTACACCTTCACGTTTTCTCATTCTACCTTTGTTATCTTCACCACCCTCTTTCGGAGTTTGAACACCGCAACACCTCAAATGTTAGTAAATTGCGTTTTGCTTGTACTGTCGTGTTTTATTTTCACGTTGTCCGTTTTTATTGTCTTCTACTGAATGTGCGGTCTCAGAGGAACGCTGCAGGAACCGCGCAGTTGCTTTAGAACTCTACCTCACGTCATCATCTCCGGTCCTCATTTTGCAGCACCTATAATGTTACCTGCATTAAGAAATTGCGTTTTTCTTGTATTCCGAAGCGCAATTGCAGGAATTGGCAAAAAGCCAATAGAGCTGCACGCGACCGCGCCGCGCCCTGGCAAAAAGCCAAGAGACTGCACGCAACCGCGCCGCGCCCTGGCAAAAAGCCAAGAGACTGCACGCGACCGCGCCGCGCTGACGGTGGAAGTATAAACGTGAGCTTGCGAAATGGGCGGCGTAGCAAGGAGTTACGACTTTCCCACGGCCCGTACTCGTGACCCCGGCAATTTTTGGCGGGACCACGAACACATCGACAGCTGGGGCCTCATAGCCCACACCAACCCTCTTGTGTTTGAGCGTACCACGTGTCTTAACATATCAGCCTCCACTCCCACACAAAATTCAGTCTCCAACAGCACGTCATTGTTGGATAATCAGAAAGCTCAGGAGTTTATTCGACACGCGGGAGCGACCACAAATTTCTTCTATTGGAAGTGGGGGGTGCAGTGAATACAGTAAAATAGAAAAGGAAACCTTAAAAAAATCGCTTCTGTGGTGACGTCTACCTAAGCCCGAAATTTACCTAGAAAGATGTGTATGCATGATTTTTGTACGTATATGTCCTGCTTTCATCTCATGGCCGTAATTTCGTTGAGACAAACTTGGAGACTAATCCACTCTCTAGTCCTTTTTTTGGGAAGAATCTCAGCAGTTCAACACTAATTTGTCGGGAAGAACTCAGCTATCCAACAACCTGAGAGCTTAGTTTAAGTGCAAAAGGTTGGCGACAAAAACTGCTATTCATGTCGGCCAACTGAACTGTCGGAACTGAAAAGTAGTGAAATCAGGAAAGAGTTTTTTAGGGATGTTAATAGCTGTCTAGTAGAACGAGAAACTATTCATTCATTATCATGAAACAGGATTGGGAAAATCCACCACTTTCCCCGTGGGGTCTTATGCGAGGAAACACGACATCGCTTCCGAGACAATGCAAGACATTTCCTCGGAAAGAAACAGCAAACTCTAGAACGACCAGCCTTGTTGTCTTTCCAGATGTTCCATGCATCGACTCTACGAGAGTTCTTCTTACATTCCTTCGTCCTGAAGTTGGCTATGGTTACATCCATGCGAATCGGATTGATTATCCTACGCTTAAAAACAAATACATTGTAACTCAAGTAAGCTGATCTGAGCTTCGTGCAATTTATATGTCGGTAGAGTTCTAGTACATCCCTACACGCCGATAAACTTGTTGGTTTGTCGTTGTCATCATTGAGTACAGCTGAAGATCTCCGACATTTCGCTAGGGTCCACTTCCAAGTACGGTGAATGCGTTCTGGCAAATGGTTTGGCAAGAAAATGTCTGCTGTATAGTGATGCTGTGTCAGACGATTGAAGAAGGCAAGCGGAAAAGTGCTGAATACTTCAGCCCGTATGTAACTCTATCAAGCATACATAGAATACGTCTGCTTCTACTGCATTCGCTATTGTGATTATATGCCA